TATATAAATATATATATATATATATATAGAGAGAGAGAGAGAGAGAGAGAGAGATTAGATAGGAGTGAATGAGTGAAGGGGGAAAGTATGAAAAAGATCACCCGAGTCTCAAGAGTAGCAATTAATGTGAGGAAATTGGTTAGTTTTATAATTGTCTCCTCTTGTTTATCTTCATGTATAATAGAAACACTTGATTTATTTACATAAATGTAGATTTGACTAGCTCCGTACGGATGACTTACGGACACAGAGTAATGTATTCACCAAATACTGTCGTCTACGAGAACAACATGAAATGACTTGGCTTAATAAATAAAGCTGCACGCCATTATATAACGTACGACCACACCCCTCGTTTAGCATTTACCGCAACGAGCAGCGATCACTTGCGGAGCAATCATTTCCTTTTCCGAGGCGTAACTGCAGTCGTCTGATAGAACTAACAAACCACAAAGACACGTTACTCCAAAGCAAAAGAACGAAGCACTGTGCTGCAGTAGTTTACTCTGAAGAAGTCGTAAATATCTGAAACCGGACGCGCCTATTCAGCAACAACTCAATTACGTGGAGCGAGACGTAGTCGATTCTTAGTCCATTACAGGCAGGAAACAGATAAACAGATGATCTGTGGCGCGGATACTACAAGGATGCGGTGCAAGAGCAAACCTGGACAAACGTTTAACAGGGCCCATTACTTGTACAAAAACTCGGTCACTATGACACAATCATTTCATTCATTACCACTCCCCGAGGCGTTTTTGTGGTTTTTACAGGAACAAAAAAGCAATCAATAGTTATTCGCTCGAAAGAAAAAAATCTATAAATTAGCGGACTTGTTTCTCATAGAGTTGTTTAAAAAGTTTCTTTTTATTTTCTTCATGAAAAGGTACTGATCTTAAATTGAAAGTCTCTCATTTAGTTTGCTTTCAAAATTCTTGAATACACAAAAGTAATAATTGAACTAAATTAAGGTATTAAAGAAAATCAACGCGTGACTATAATCGACTTCCATTTCTAAACATCTGCGAACTAAGAAGTACGGTCATCCTGATCCAAATTGAAGCACATGATCTAAATACTACACACGTATTTGACCAAATATCGACGATGTAGAAGAAATGTCACTTCTCTAAAAAAATCGTCAATATTGAGATTAGCGAAGACATACATTAAAAAAAAACATCATTTTATAAAGATAGTTCACATATCAGCTTATACTTGGTTTTTCATTACGCAAGCACTGCTCGATACTCTCGCCATCATGCCACATCTAAAGGTACGACCAAGAAAGTCGCGAAATATTTCAATGTGAAGACAAGCACTCACGCGCCAAGAAATAAAAAGCCAAGAATAGATGTACAACAAGACACTTCGGCTGCTAAGTAAGCAGATCCGCTCACATTAAAACCGTTCTCGTGCGCGTTCCATGCTTGGAGGAGGCAGCCCCACGCCCAGGGCCGTTGACCTGCGCGCGTCGCAAGCGAGAAGTGCGTGCCCGGGGCGTGGCCGTGCGTGGGCGGGCGGAGACCGCGGGCTCGCGACGACCGGTGGGCGATGTTTGTCTCCACCGGCAGATAAGTGGGCGCACGCGCTTCCAAATGGCCCTGCGACGAGGGGAAAGGAAGCCTCTTACTCCACCGCCTCCGCCTCCGCCTCCGCCTCCAAAGCCCTACGCACGTGGCCATTTACTCGCTATTACCTCAAGGCCTTCAGTCCCTCTCAGAGCAGTGGCAGGAACTGTGGAAGGGAAGGTAACGTAACAGAGGATGCTCGGAACAACTTATATTTACATGAAAGTTTGAAGAAAATCAGTAATGCAAGAAATGAAAAAGAAAAGAAAATGGAAATGAGAAGGCGACAAACAAGAAGGAAAACCTAAGAGAAAATAAGCCAAGTCATTGCTTTATATCGTAGAGAAGTGGATATGTGATCTGTGGCCATATCCTAAAAATAATTGTTTAAGGAAAGAAACAGGAAAGAACAGATCTCAGAAAGAGATGCGCGATGAATTCTTGTTTTATCGAGAAAATCATTTCGAAAAATCTGTTTCAAGATGCAAATATTTTCTCAAAAATCTAGTGAAATACTAAACAACATGAGGAAAAAATAGAGTACTACAGATATTACGAAGAGGGAGAAAAGAGGCAAAAACGTAGTTAAATTAATAAAGAAAGAAAGAAAATCGAAAGGAGATCGATCGAAAGAGTGATCGTGAGAGATTGGGGGGCGAAGCAAAAGGAAGGTGAGATAGACTTATAAAAAAAGAAATGGAGGTAGAGAGACACAAAGAGAGAGAGAAAGAGAAAGAGAGAAGGAGAGAGTAGGAGAGAGAGAGAAAGAGACAGAGAGAAGGGAATGAAATGACCGAAAGTGGGAGAATGTGAGGCAGAGCTGAAGGAAGGAAGGAAGACGGCAGGCGGGGGAGGGCCACGGGGAGGGAGGATGGGGCCGGAGCAGGGCCTGGGGCGCGGGGCGTGGGAGGCGCGCCCGCTGACAAATTGCCAGCGCCCGCCCACTAATGAAGCGCTCTTCAGCCGAGGGCCCAGCGCCCTCCGCCCGCCCCCCCGGCGCGGCGCGTGGCTCCTTGCGCTCGCTCGCACGCGCTGCGACAAGCAAATCGCCGCCGATCAACTCCTCGCCCCTACGCACCTTCGAAACCAGACAACAGGTCTAAAAATGGAATGACCTTTTCTTGTTTTGTACGAGCCCAGGCGCGCTTTAAAACTCTAGTTGAGAAACGTCCGTAATAGTGATATTTTTGGTTTCGGTTTTTCATAATTATTGAAACATAAAAATCGCTCTACAATAAAAACAGTAAATAAAATAGTTTTTGTTTTATATTGTTTTGAAAAACGAGCTAGAATGTAGATTGAATTTAAAAAATACTCTTTGAGAAACGATTATACGAAGACAATATTATCAAATGGGTAATTACAATAAACTCTCGTCAGAATGAATTCCAAGAAACTGGAATGATCGGTGTTCGTGATTTTTAAATTCGCGTTATCCAATGATTATATATATCCGCAATTTTTTGTTTCCCGTTACGACCCACATTTTTTTACATTACTTACAAATTCCGTTCTGACGAAAGTTTACTGCAGCTCAATAATAACAAAACTGGACGCCTATGAGCAGTGATTCTCATCGTTTTCCCGGTCCAATTGTGCCCCAAAGAAAACAAAATATTAGCATTTAGAAAACAGTCTCAAAACCTTCGTTGTTCACACATATTATCGAACAACAAATATAGGCCAGACATTACTACAGGTGTAAGGCCTAAACATTGTGTTGCGTCTGCGAAACAAAAGATAAAATCATTTCCCATGCACATATTCAATACACAATTTATATCACAGACGTTTCACCTTTCCGCAATGTCCCAGAGGCGTTTCTATGAGAGGGAGAGAGAGAGAGCGGCGGGCTTACCTTGCAGATGCCGGAGACGCAGACGGCGAGGGCGGCGTGGCGCGCAGGCGGCGTGGCGGCGCTGGCCGGGCACTCGGTGCCGTCCACCACCGTCGCGTTCAGCCGCGCGTAGAACGTGCCCCCCCTGGGCCGGCAGTTGAGCTCGCACGGGTTCGGCGCTGCGGCACACGGAGCAACGAGCCAATAAGAGACAGAAGCCCTTCAACCAGGTACGGAAGCACGGATATCAAGGATTTGGCTGCACAAAAGCTTTAGAAAAGTATTCACGAAGCAACATCTTGCATGCTGTTCATAAAAGAATTATACTTTTTTAAAAATAAAAATGGTACATCGTTATATATATATATATATATATTACTATATATATATATATATATATATATATATATTAATCGTAGTTGCCGTCAAACTAGAGGAACAAACGCGCGCCGCGAGAGAGAAGAGGTCCCCCGCCCCGCCGCTAGGCACGTGACAGCAGGCGGAAAGACGTGGGAAGGAGAGGGGGCATCCGCCCCTCCGCTCCCTTCAACCCCACGCCGGGCGCGAGCGGGGCGAGAGCGATTTTGGTCGCGAGCGATAACGGAGCTGGATTCACTTTTGAAACACTGTAAAAAGACATAGCTCTGACATTGTGGTTTCTTCTGAAAATTGGATTGGCACGCTCGCTAATGGTACGTTTACTGGACACTGGCTTTGTATTATTGGACAGCCAAAGTGCTATTCGGACGCTTGAAATAAACTTTTTTATAGATTTTGTTTTGTGTGCTGCGTCTGCGTAGAACACAAAAATAATTGAATTGTATAATCGACTATATCTCTACATCTTCTCACATCTTCGGATCTCGGTAGAACCAATCGGCTGAGGTGGTCGTTTCCTAAATTCTCCTCACCAACTGCAGAAGCTCATTCTTCAGGTACAGTGACTACTATACCAACCAATTTCCTCCATTGGTTGCGTGGCCGGGGAGCAGCGTGTTCTTTCTATTTGTACTACAATCGTAGTATGCGGAACCATATTCAAACTTGGTGCGATATAAGCGGAATGGGTTCACAAATGGACATAACGAAGTATAAGCGTCAGGCGTGACTGGGTGTCCCGTATTGCGCGCGAAAGACAGTCAGTTGATGGGGAAGATATAGGCGTCTAAGGAGAGGCATTGTCAGGTATAATGAAAACACTCCACAATCGCATTGTTCAAACGGAACCCAGACAGGCAAGGAACTACAAGTTGAACTTAGAAAGTTGGGCACACTCAACCAGTAACCATTCATACATATGCGGCTTTCGACCTGCGTCCATTTTTCCAAATATCACTACTTGAGCGATGCGGCATTAGCGATCTCGCCCGTTTGAGACTGATCAAATTTAATTTTATAATCTTCAATATATTGTTCAAGAAACAACATCAGAAGTAAAGAATACCAAGCATTTATTGTGCATTTTTTATATAAATTTATTTTTGCGAATTTATTACAACTTAGGATCGTTTATTGCATCCTAGCTTCCATTAGCCACGATCTTTTCAATCGTTTTCTTGCAGGTTTCTTTCATCCATCGCTTTTGTTACTGCATCCTCCCAATGTGTTCTTGGTCTCCCTTTTCTTCTTCTTCTTCTTCTTCTTCTTCTTCTTCTTCTTCTTCTTTCAGTAGGGGTTCACGCGATTTTTTTTTTGGCACCTTCCTTCATCCATACAGCGCACGTGCTCATACCATTGGAGGCAGGTTTTACAATTTGCAATTCCTACCAACTGCAACGCGGTTCACAATTATCGAAAGATGTTCCAGAGTTGAAGCACGGTCACTGTCACCAGATGTACCAGTCCGTAGCCAAGTTCAGCAAAGGTCCAACAGGAAACTAACATAGCGGGCACCATTCGTCGTAGAGAGAAAATACCATACTGTCACTAACCACAGGTGCTTAACTGTCTCCAAAACTGTTTACCTAGGCGCTCATAGCTCCTTATATCCAGGAGGGGCGTCAAACGTAGTTACTGATGGTTACTTTGTTTCATTTGCGAGCCCAAACATGCTCGCGCTGGGAATTTGCGGCCAACTTTGAATACTCTGAGCATCGCATGAATGCATACATCGCATTAATATAAAATTCTATATGCTATTATGAAAATTTGAGTTTGAAAAATATACACCTGTCACTCTGGTAGGCAAAAATGAGAAGTGAAAGCTGTTAAAATTGCTTTTCGGAAATACCAAAAATAGATTAGTCAGTCATATAAAATGAGAGGAATATTATTTGGGGTTTACACAATTTTATTAATAGATTAGTTCAATACACGGCAATTCTACTGTTGGGAAAGTTTGCAACTATTTTTCAGTCAGAGGCGAAACATCTTTTATACATCCCTATTTTCTGAATAGAATGGGGTTAACAACGTCTGGTGTTATGTTAGCACCGTACAATAGACAAATCCAGCCATTGTTGCGGCACACACGAAGCGCGGGGGATTTGCGGGTTGGGAGCCTGCGGGGCGCATTCCCTCCCACTGAACGCAGGCCGCCGACAAAATCCCCGGAGATTCGCGTGTGGACGGCCGGCATTCCAAGAGCGCCAAGGAGCCCGCGCGGCGGCCGGCGGCGCGGGAGCGGCTGCCCCGGGGGCTCCGGAGGCGCGAGAGGGCGGATTACGCGGGAGCGCGCTGGAGGCTTCGGATCGCCCGGCCGCCCCCTCCGCCCGGCCGCGCTCGCACACTGGGCCCCAGCGGCGCCGCGAGCCACGCCTCTCGAACGGCGGCAACTCATGACACCGCAGGGCCCCTCACCGGGAGCAAGGAGAGCTTAGCGAGGACACACCGACAGTGGCACGATTTTCGACGTTACTTTTTCAGCTAGGACGAGTTCACCCGCTGTCTGGAGGAGACTTCTAGCGGTATCGGGGGTTTTCCGATTTACTCCACACGAATATAGGCAGGAGGAATACGCAATACTCCTGAAGTTTGGGATCGTATTCGCAGGTTAATGATACATCGGTGTCATGTCTGTATTCAAGCAGGAGGTGGACATTTTGAACTTCTGTAATGACAACAGCCTGCGGAAAGAAACACGTTCTGGTGAATTTCAGCGTTGGGAAGGGCATAATTCGGATATGAAGCATTTTCGGACTTTCGGACTGCTGTAATGAAATATTTTGATTGTCTACATACGGGTAATATATACCTGAAATAATGCCCTTCATCTTTGAAACATTCCGTTCATTTATTTTATAGAGATATTTCAAATGATGATGTTATACTTTTACTTGAATTGCATATTTCATTCCTTAATGCTTCGTCTTCCACTCTTTATTTTCATTACATACCGCGATTTTGTCTTTAGTGTATTTATCACTGAAATATTTGCAAATGAATGCAGCTTATAGAATGTATTTGTTAGCAACAGCCAAATGTAAATCTGAAATATCTTCCAGACATCTTTTTTTTAACCCTCGTATCATTTACAATACGCAAATCTTCACTTTTGCAGTATGGGTCCTAATGTCTCTTTTATTTGTTTTAGAGCCCAGGCTCATAAATAAAGAATGTAATGCGAACATTAAACAGAAACACAAAATGCAAACAAGTTCTTTTTTGAACCGGTTTGTATGACAATATAATCAAAATCAATTGAAGAACCAACAAGTACAGAATTTACTTTAGAACATTAACATAGAAAACACAATTTGTAATGTTATTAAAAGAAACTCTTATAACTGAAGTTGAGATTGTTACCCCTTCTACGACCTCCAGCGGATGTTCTGACTTCACTTTCTTCTGTTTCATTTTGTGACGGCACTAGTGTTACTTCATTATGAAGATTCATACTGAAAATTTAACGTTTATTAGCTACTGAATCTTCTAAATATATTTCGACGACTGAAGAGTTCTTCCAACCTTCTTCAGTGTCAAATTATCTGTTACTTTAGCATAGTTTTGTATGTCAAAGTTTTATTTCATAATGGGAAAAGTTTTCAGCATTAAAAATTATTACTACAGTATTACTATAGTACAAAATAATTGAATCATAGTAACAAATTTCCGGAAGTGATACGCCAAATACTATCTTCATTTACACAACATTATTTTCATTTCTACAACTCATGAGCGCATTATACGAATTCCTGGTATTCTCTTGCTGATATTCTCTGTGACTTCTCTGCCAGAAGATTTGAAATTGTTTTTTCAGCTTTTTGTTGAATTTCTTTCGGAATATGTATGCGTGAATCAGCTATTATTGCATTATATACTTTAAATTGTTTAAAATTTTAGATGTAGGATGTTGCGTTAACAATATTCGAATCAATGAAAAGTGCGAATGGAATTCTTCACTACGAATTACAAACGAAGACAATTAGTTCTAAGACAGATATAACGGCGCGAAAAATCACTTAATAGAAGGAACTGTCCTTCAGTTGACTTTGCGTCAGACGTTCACAATTTATGTAGAAAAACGAACAAAACCTTTTCATTTAACTTCTCCAAGTATTCCGCCCTCCCCGTCCCCTTCGGGTTTCCAAATCCTGAGGAAAACCCCGTGAGGGTCAAAACTTGTGACTCCAGACCGAGCGTCATGAATTGGAGCTACGTTGAGAAGAAATACGCTTTCTCCTCTGTGGAGGGACCAACCGCCCTCCAAGTGCTTAAGGAAAGCGGACGCGAAGCCCTTCAACGCAGCCCACCGGCGAAGACTTGACGTCACCTGCGAAGAGAGCCTGCACTCAGTGGGCCGAAACGAGCAAAACGACGCAAATAAGCTGGTGAATGAAGAGAAAATCTGGCGCATATCAAAACACTTTTTGGGGAACATTTAAGAAATAGTGTAATATATACGGGATGCTTTATAAGAAGAAAACGTATTTATGCTAAACAATAGAATGATTGAAGCTGCACTCTGTTGCTGAGCATGACGAGTTGGAGTTACAGATCAATGGTTTGTGGAGGAAAGGCTGCAAATCGTAATGGAGGGCCTTAGATGACAAGAGATATACGTGCCGTAAATGTGGTATTGAGAAAATTGAGTTTTGAGTTGAGTGAATATAGTAAACCCTTTGGAAGGCCTTTTCTTTCCCCCGCTACTACGTGACAACTGTTCGAGCTATTGGAATACCATTCGTGAAGGTTTTACTTTACACTTCTACTCGAAGCGCAAAATTTGCCAAAAATACACGTATCCCCATCAATTAAACATTACGCAATGGAATAAAGAAAAACAGTAACATAAAAGGCACATGGTGTAATATCCTCCAGGTAAATGAAATGTTTCGAACTGAGACTTTCAGGTATCTCTCGCCATGGAATTCAACGTATAAGACAAAATAAAAGTATGAAAATTTCATCCTTAACGCGACGTTGCCGTTCTCTTATTTGTGTACTCGTATGCTCCTAACGTTTTCGTTTGCGTATGGTCGATAGCTGCGTTGGAAAGCAGAGGTGGCTCAGCTTATCAACTGAAGTCATTGCGGTGCCTCTAACCGGCAGCTGCTAAGCTCGAGACCCGACAGTAGCAGGTTTTCGACACTAGTTAGATAGCTAGGTCGAGTTCAATCGCTGTCTGGGGAAGGATTCTAGCGGCCGGCTGCTCTGGTCGGTAGTTTTCCGTGGTTTCTGCCATCAACACCATGCGAATGCCGGAGCAGTACCCCAACAAACGAGCCACGGACCGCGAGCTTTCCTTCCCATTTCTTGTATTATCCCTTACTTGCACACACTTACACTATGATGCCCAACACTTCCACACATGCCATGAGACCAGTCGCGAGCTTAGAGGTTGCAACGGCTGGGGCGATGCCCCTCTGGTGGAAGATACCTGGTTGGGGTAAAACCCCACTAGCCGACGGTAGGTCGGTATCGGATCTCGGCATCTAGCGGGGGAAGACCATGTCCACCTCGCTTGGGATAAACGTGCTCTACATTTAGGGAACTAATGACCTTAGCAGTTGACGCGCCCGGAATCACAATCAATCAATCAATCAATCGCAATTTCGGTCGATTACTACGAAAAATACAAGCTAATTGAGCGTCATTCTGCTTCATTTGTCTCTACGTTCATGAGGCGGTTTGGCGTGCGCTTGGGCCCAGTGCGCGCCGCGCGGTGTCGGGGGCAGCTGCGGACGCCAGAGGCGACGGTGCGAGGGCTGACTTACGGGCGGACGCCTCCGCGAGGTGGGCGGATTACGCGCAGTCGTGGCTGTCACTCGCCGGGCAGACGCGGGCACATGAAAGGGCAAGAGATCTCGGAATTTACGGATGTCATTTGAATTTTTAATTCTCCAGCAAAAGGTGAAATCTCAGATCTCATCTCACGATAAGAGAATATGAAGGTCGCGATGATGTACAATACGAAGTGAGAAGCAAAAATGGAAGAAAAAAATTAAGTAGGTTTAGGATTAACATAAAGCAGTTAAGAAGTAGTACATTTTTTAAAAATTTATATTACAGTCAATATTTTTTGCCTTACTTTTGTTTACACTACTGATATACCAAAACAAATCCAATGAAACATCAACTTAGTTATTATAAGACATTGTTACAGTAAATGTGAAATTCCGTTCAACGCTGTTTAGTCACGGTTTTATTAATTTGCCGAATTCTAATATATAATGTCAGAGTTACCAACAGACTACTGACCTGTGTTCTGTGTTCCAACTGGGACGCTATTGCCCCCCTGTGAGGTCGATGAAACTTTAAAGGGGGTTAATGATAATAATCAAGGGGTCGAGTGGGGGAGGGTCGATAACTGAACCGGATGATTGATTGGTACCGTCACGAGCAAGATCCTTTTCATTATTAAAAATATTAATGAAATTTATACTTGTTTTCTTTTTTAAGCTTCAAAACTCCCAAATTTTTAAACATCAGAAAAACGAACATGAAAATATTGAATAATTCTCGTTTGTGACGTCGGACAGGAAAATTGTTCTTAAAGTTTCTTTAGAACTTCTTATTCGCTATCCAAAACTCTGATCAGAACTGATGAAATATAATTTCGAAATTATTTTATGCCAAATCTTCAATTTCACAAAAACGTATATAAAAATATTAAATAATTCTCGTATTTGACGTCGGGCGAAAGAAGCGTAATTGAAACAGAAATATTTGTTTGCTACCCAGACCTCTGAGCAGAAGTGATGAAATATAATTTTCAAAATTTTTATCTCAAATCTTGTTTCAGAAAAACGAACATGAAAATATTGAAAAATTCCCGGGTTTGACGTCGGACGAAAAAAGCGTATTTCACCTTTGTTTATAACTATTTATTCGCTACCCATAACTCTGGTCAGAACAGATGATATAATTTTTATATATTTTTTTTCTCCATTATTTTCAACTTCAGAAAAATGAACATGAAAATATTCAATAACTCCCGTGTTTGACGTCGGTCGACAAAAGTGTATTTGAGCTTTCTTTAGAACTCGTTGTTCTCTACCCAGAACTCTGTCACATCTGAGTAAATATAGTTTTTAATTTTTTTCGGAAAATTTAAATTGTTTTCAATAATTTAGTTTTTCTTTTAGTATTTTGTCTCAATGCTTTGAGGACTGTAGAACTCTTTGGTCGCAAATGAGACTTCTTGGGAAAATTTTGAATTTTTTGTCTTTAACTCACAGCTGGTCTTTAGCTTTTAAATTTAATTTTTGTTATAATTTTTGAAATTTTGCAAAACTTTTCCGAGACGTTTTGAGAACTCCAGAACTGTTTTGTTAGCTACTCAGAACTCAATATGTTTAGGGTTTTCAAAATTCAGCCCGCCAACTTCATACATTCGTTGATGCCCTGAACCATCTCCCCCGGCCATTTTGATTCAAATTTTTGTCGAACTCCGCCACTGCCTGAAGGAGAATTCTAGCGGCCGACAGCTGTAATCGGTAGTTTTCTATGGTTCCTCCTATCACTATCAGTGAATGCCGGAGCAGCACTCTAAGAAATGGGCCACGGATCGCGCACTATCTTTCCTTCCTCATCATTGTCATCGCCTCTCTCCTCCTACACATACATACACACATATTTACTTGCACTACCGCACATGTCGGGAGTCCCGGAGGGAGAGGAACACCGCCACCTGACGGGATATTACACTTACGGGATTAATGAGCTGACGCGCCCGAAAACAATACGTCACTTGGAACAGTTGTCTCGCACAGCCTTCAGCGAGTAACCCAGTGGCGCACCCGGGGCTGGGCGGATCGCGAGGGACGGCAACGCGCATTCGTTCCCACGTGCTCAGTCCGCGCGGCGGCGCCATTCGCCCCGCCCGCCCCCCACGCACGCCCATCCCCCAGAGGGCCTTCTCAGTCAAGCGCGCTCGCGATACCATCTGGCGGGCCCCACCGCTGGCCTCTTCCGTAATTAATACAGAGCCGCCCCAGCTCCGCCACCTCCGCGCCGCCCCGCGCGCCCCGCGCGTCACCTGCTCTGATACGCGCCCGAGCCCACGCCCCGCCCCCCGCCCCGCGCCCGGCACGCTGTCCGCGAAGGGCGTGCGTTGACCGCGCACGCGGCCTTGGCCCAGATGGCGAAACATGCACCCGTCGCCCTCCTCATGCGAGGACAGTCCTTCCCTTTTGCAGGGTTATCCTCTTGCCGTTTCCTCCTTTTCGATATTTTAAAACTAATTTTAATGTGCTAATATAGTTAATCAAGTCATAAATACAGATTGAATATAAATACGCTAGGAGTCAATATAAAATCCAGTATGAGAGATATTTCTTGCCCGGAGTTACAATATATTGTTAGAAAATACTCGTTTATTTAAAAAATTAAGAGAAATGTAATCATAATTAATATATTTTTGTTTGAATTAATGTAATGTTTCATTTATTTACGTTGAACTTTTTTTAAAATTTATCGTTCTCCTTTTCATTGTCACCTTACAGACGGCCCCGCGCACAGCTGCAGGGAGGTGGGCACTCGCCCGTCGCTTCCGGTGGGACGTTAAAGCCTATTCCGGAGTAAGTTCGTAAAAAATGACATGAAACGTTTCGAACGATCTCTTTGTGGAATATGTTTGGGACCCAGAAAAATTACGATTTACCCTTTCTTAGGCACACACTTCTTCTCCTTGCTCCAAATTCATAAGAAGTTTTTTACATTTTCCTCCTGCTTGTAGTAAACAGTTTTTTTAACACCTGGATCGGGGTTTGTAATTAAATGAATACTCAATTAATATCGAACATACTCATCCTATCAACTATTACATATACGTAAGTTAAGTGTTGTAAAGTACCGAGTTGCTGGTGTCACAATTTACTTCACATTACGTTTTGTTTTTCTGTGGCTTGGGATACCAAATTGAAACCTTTATTCCTTTTTATCTATTTTCTATATAAGGTTAATGCCTTTGTATATGTTTATTAACAATATATAATATTCAATATTATTAAGCAACGTACAGTAAGTCGAATAGGCACATTAACAAAACAAAATGCTACCTCGGGACTTGAGATATTACTCACTTACGAAGTATAATAATCAAGCTGACACATTCATATCTTGAATACTACACTCGCAAAAAGAGCAATTTTTAAAACTCGGGTTTTTGGGGAGAAAATCAGTCTTAATAATGGGTTTCGAATACTCACCGTCCATGTAAGGAATCCACGCATAAAACTGGCCTGCCATCGGCTTCCTGTTGAACGCTTCGCATTGCTGCAATCGGAAGTCTTTTGATCCCGGCGGGCAAGGCTGAAACAAAATATTAAGAATTAATATTTCAGAATCAGCAAAAGTTTCTCAGTAAACACAATTTGAAATTTATTTGTCTATAAAAATCAAAGCCAGAACCAACAGAATAAATGAAATTTATGAAAATAAGGTAATATTCAATAAATAAGCTAAAATAGGAAAATTGCTACACATTTTCGAAATTATTTTATGACATGAACTTAACAAAACTAAATGATTCTCTTTAGATTGAACAAAGAATACTTTATCGGCAAAGTTAATCTGAATGTGGAATGGCTTTGAGAGTTTCAAGATGGGCCACAAATAACGATATACCCGGTACTTCAGAATCAGGTTTACAATAGTATAGTATTATAGTATACAATATAGTATTCAAAACTTTTTTACCAACACCATTGCATTGTCATTCTATTTAAAATCTAAATTATTGGGGTAATATACTGAAGCTCTAAGACACGAGTCCACGAACGTCTATAGAAAATATCTTTATTTTTGAATAAGACAATTTGTTTAATTAAAAATGTAAAAATTGTTTTAATAACTATAAGAAAATGCGTTTTGTGGAGATATAAAATATCTCCACCATACCCACATTTCCTTAATATCTCCGCGTTCATTCAAAATGTCGTCAGTGTTGCGTACTTTGAGGTGACACTCATGAATTATCGTTGTTAAGTGCAATAGCAAATGCAAAATCGTAAATTTACCGGCAAGGCAACAAATGAACATCAACATATTGATTGCTTAAACGCATTTAAAATCACATTAACTCCATAACAATTTTCTTTTTTCACTAAGAAATTTTCACTAATTCCTTTGAGCGACTGAGTGGTTTATTGTTTAAGTGCTTGAGGAGCACTTAACCTGGCAACACTTAAACCTGGCAATTTCTCATGACAGTACCACTTCCTTTCCTCACCAAGCTCTCCTTGTATAATAATATTATTTGGAGGGCGGATAATGGGAGAATGTTATCCTCAAGTCAATATAATTTGCATTTTAACATACAAATCTACAAACTTTTGGTGTATAAAGAAATTGAAAATATTCATTTGTTGTAACTCATGGATGTTCTGTTGGTTTTTGTCTCTTAGTCAATGAAATTATTTTGAGTGGTTAATTTTATGAAGTATGGTATAACCAATTTACAGTATGCGGAGAATATGTAATGCCAAAGTCCGCTGAAAGGACACCATGAATAGAATTTGATACGACACTCCGAGAGTGATGTCCAGTGGATTTGCATTTTGTCCTTAAGCACTTAAACAATCACCAGTGGACCGATTCTTGAATGTCCTTACCAACAAAGCTATATACGGTTGCATTGCGTCACACTAGGTGTATTTTTACTCGTCGCATACCCTTCGCATCGCCTCAATCTCGGCCGACAT